GGTGTGTCTGGGTGAGGAGCCTCCTCCCCGTCTGGGTGTGTCTGGGTAAGGAGCCTCGTCCCTGTCTGGGTCTGTTTGGGAGGAGCATGAAAAGCCAAAGGTCACAGTTCTCAATGGCACTGGGAACATATGTAGGAAGAGGGATGTGATTTTGAAATAGAATTCAGTGAGGTAAGTGGAAAATGAACAAACAGGATCCCTGAAGCAGTAATCTCCTGATTATTCCCAATGCCACATGTAAGTGAGGATCGAAATGGGAGTTTTCGCCTGTGGTGTGATCACCTCCCTATATGTGTTATCCACAATACTCACCGCTCGTGGATGCTCCACTCTGTCCCCGGCTGCCAGCCCACCTTTGAAATTTGGAGAAGCTGGTCCTAGCATCATGAAGGGCAGTTCTGAAGTTACAAAAACATATTAGGCATATAGAGATGAATTCAAATTTCACGAAGACATATTTTACATGAGAGAAGGAAAAGCGTCTTCACCCATTGCACTAAAGCATTGAAGCAATTGTGAGGAAGGCAAGAGAAGTGCTGTGCTGGATAAATTTGAGCAATGAGGTGAACAAATACATCAGCCAGTGCAGCGCTTACAATGAATACTAAGCTGTGCAAACTAAAGGGCCGCTGATACAATGATATTGAAGTTTGACCTCTGCACTCTCTCAGGAACTAATTATCTTTTCACCAAAGACTCCTCCCCTGACTGCTGGGAGATAGACTCACTTACATCAGCTACTCCTGGTGAGATTGTAAAATCTCTGAAAGCACACTTGGGCCATGATGGAATTCATCATCTTGTGAAGAGCAACAATGGTCCTCAGTTCATCAGTGAAGAATTCAGCTCTCTCATAAAGGATTGGGATATTCAACTGTATTATCTCCACACCATACCCAATTAAATGAAAAGGATGAGTCAGCAATGAAAATCACCAAAGTAAGCATAAAGAAATCAAGCAAATCCAACACAGAGGTATACAATGTGATCTACAAGTAGATGAATGCATCTACTAGAGGCACGAAGAGTAATCCATGCCAAAGACTCGTGTCACACTGTGTCAGAACCATCCTTCCAAAAACAGAACAGAAGTAACAGCAGTATGAGAGAAAAAGGAAACAAGGTGAATGACAAAACACCAAATTATATTTTGATAAAGCTGTCAAACCATTGCCAGGAATAAGCACTGGAAATACAAACTTCAGCAAGAGTCAGGCCAAGTGGCAAATCTGGACCTGTACAGAGCAGTTGTCATGTCGATGATAAGCAGTGGGAGTGAACAATGAGATAATGTGTTGTAACTGCAGGCACCTCTCACCAGCTGAGCAGATTGCAGGCTGCGATCAGGAAGATGGGAACTCACCGTATGCACAGACTACAGATAAACCATCAGTCTAGAGCTCCATTGCAGCAACAATAAATGAGACAGGAATGACACTTCATCACAGGGTGAACAGGCAATGACAACACACACGTGTAAATTAGGATACTAATAATGGTTCAAAACTGTATACAATATATGAGTAAATATTGATGAGACTAACAAACTGGAAACACGTGAGAACAGCTCTGTGTATTGCAGGCAATTTGAAGAACTCTCAGTGTAATTAACAACGCACAATTTATTTTTTCTTCTACTTTGTATGAAAGGAGGAATTTTGGGATGGAGGTGTATTACTGTACAAATGTGCTTCCTCGCTGTTGGCATCCATCTAACAAAAGTTCAAGAAAGACACTGTACAAACTAGACTGTTATCTGGGAGTCTGTAATAGTGTGGGCCTGGGGCTGGGTCTGGGACTGGGCTGCAGTGTAGGGCAGGCCTGTGGGTCTGAAGTACTAAAGTGAAGTCATGTTGTTGTTCCAGGTATTACTGCATGGACCACATTTGCAGATGAACCTTCTCATTTGCTGCTTTCTGAGGTTCCAGAAGGTGATGAGCTCCAAAGTACTGAAGTTATTCACTGGGGCTACATCAGTGCAGAGAATAAAACCTCAAGATTCCATCCTGACCAAATGAAGGGAAAAAGTGTGTCTCTTTTGCAACATTCGTCCTTTACAAACAAAGGTGAGAGTGATGGTTGATGTTGATATCTCTTGTGCTGTCACCCTCGAGGAAGCAAGGACCTGGAAGAACCAGTGACCCTGGTCACTGACACATTAGATATAGAACATAGAACAGTACAGCACCGTACAGGCCCTTGGCCCACGATGTTGTGCCGACCTATTATCCTATGAACTGTGCTGCAACTGAACCAAGTCTCTGGCTCAGTCTTAGGGGAACTCTGATATTTCAGGTTAGGGTTACAGTTAGTGTTAGGGTTAGCGTTGCAAATCATATCTGTGTGGAATGCACTGCCGGCAGTGATAGTGGACTCAGATACTTTAGAGACTTTTAAACGACTCTTGGATAGACACATGGAGGATAGTGAAATGTAGGGTATGCAGGGTAGATTGATCTTATTAGGATAGTAGGTCGGCACAACATCGTGGGCCGAAGGGCCTGTATGGTGCTGTACTGTTCTATGTTCTATGTTCTATATCTAATGTGTCAGTGACCAGGGTCATTGGTTCTCCCAGGTCCTTTTAGACTCAGCAGTTACCTCATCACCCATGTCCATCTGGCTGGGGACTGCTTTCACTCATTCCATTCTCATTGATAGAACTAGGCGCAAAGACAGGGAGGACATTTATTTGTCAAAAGATCAGGATATCTGGTCAGCATGGACAAGTCTGTTTCTGTGCCGTACATCTCTGTGATGCTACAAGATCAGAATAATGCTGAGACTTCAATAAGGTAAGTGAATAGACAAAGATCATCAAATGGAGATTAACGTGGGAAAATGTGAAATTATCGTATTAACAGGAAGAATACAAATGGAAGTGTTGTATCTAAATGGTGCATGATTGGAGAGCTCTGAGATGCAGAAGGACCTAGGTGTCCAAATGCATGAGTCAACCAGCCAGCCTGTTAGCCCTCTGCAGTGAAGAATTCCACAGATTCATTACCCTGTCAGAAAGAAAAGAAATTTCTCCTCATCCCTGCCACCCAGGTGGATAGAGTTGTTAAGAAGGCATATGGTGTGTTAGCTTTCATTAATAGAGGGATTGAGTTGAAGAGCCGTGAAGTTATGCTCCAGCTATACAAAAGCCTGGTTCGGCCACATCTGGAGTATTGTGTCCAGTTCTGGTCACCTCATTACGGAAAAGATGTGGAAAAGGTGCAGAGGAGATTTACCAGGATGTTGCCTGGAATGGAGGGAAGGTCTTACGAGGTCTTTTAGTTCTCTAAAAGTGGCAACACATATGGCCAAAGTTATTAAGAAGGCATATGGCATGCTTGCCTTCATCTGGAGTACAAGAGTTGGCAGACCATGTTGCAGCTATATAAAACCCTTGTTAGGCTGGATTTGGAGTATTGTGTGCAGGCTTGGTCACCACATTACCAGGACATGGAAGCTTTGGAGAGAGTGCAGAGAAGGTTCACTAGGATGTTGCCCAGTCTCGAGGGCATTGGCTATGAGGAAAGATTAAAATGATTAGGATTGTTTTCACTGGAAGGATGGTGGCTGAGAAGAGACCTGATAGAGTTCGACAAAATTATGTGAGGCATAGATAGGGTGGATAGTCAGAGGCTTTTTTCAACAGAGGGTTGAAGTTTCAAATACAAGGGGGCACAGGTTCAAGGTGAGAGGGGGAAAGTTGAAGGGGATGTGTGAAGGACATTTTTCACACAGAGAGTGATAGGAGCCTGTAGGAGGTGGTGGAAGCAGGCACCTGGATGGTTACATGAATAGGGAGGAAATAGAGGGATATGGACCTAATAAGGGCAGAAGTTTTGTAAGTTAGTTTAGTTAGAGCATGGTGATCGGCACAGGCTTGGAGGGCCGAAGGGCCTCTTCCTGTGCTGTACTTTTCTCTCTTTTGGAGTCGCAGGTAGACAGGATGGTGAAGAAGGCGTTCGGTACACCTGCCTTTATTGGACAATGCATTGAGTATAGGCATTGGGAGGTCATGTTGTGGTTTTACAGGACATTGGTTAGGCCACTTTTGGAATACTGCAAGCAATTCTAGTCTCCCTGCTATCGTAAAGATGTTGTGAAACTTCAAAGAGTTCAGAAAAGATTCACAAAGATGTTGTCAGGATTGGAGGATTTGAGCTTTAGGGAGAGGCTTAATAGGCTAATGAGGCTATTTTCCCTGAAGCGTCAGAGGCTGAGGGGTGACCTTAGAGGTTCATAAAATCAAAATCAAAAGGGACATAGACAGGGTAAATAGCTGAAGTCTTTTCCCAGGGTTGGGGAGTCCAAAACTAGACAGCATTGA